TATCTTTGTAAAGGCCTCTAAAGATGGTGTTTCTAGCCTTTGCATTTCATTTCTCATAATTGACCTCATCGCCTTGAAGGTGTGTGGGATCCCTAGGTTTTGGGAAGCCTTGAGAGGCGGCTCTAAGAATTCCAACATCTAGAGCTTCTAAATAAGCCTCCATGCAGATTTTCCAATAAGAAAAATCATCTCCCTCAAAGATAGGTGGAGGTCCATCCCTGTGGGACATCTTTCTCTAGACGGTTAAGCCTAAATATGTGAGCACGAGGCTCCGATACCAATTGAAAGGATCAAGATGCCCAAGAGGGGGGTGAATTGGGCTAATTCTAAAATTCTTTGTAATAATTAAACCATACACTAAGCCCACTTCACCCCTTGTGCCTAGAATGTGTTTCTAATATTCTACCGCATAAAAGTTTTGTAACATAAGTTCTAATCCTACTCTAGCATGGCAATTCTAGGAATGTAAAGACAAGAATTGAATAACTCAAATGTAAATGCTTAAAGTAAATAGAGGAGAAGGAATGCGGAGATGCTTTACCGAGGTATTGGAGAGTCGTCACTCCCCACTAGTCCTCGTTGGAGCACCCACACAAGGGTGTAGCTCCCCCTTGATCAGCGCAAGGATCAAGTGCTCTCTACGGGCTGATTCTTCGACACTCCATCGTGGTGAATCACCCATAACCGCTCACAACTTGAGTTGAGTCATCCACAAGCTCCGCCGGATGATCACCAAACTCCCAATCACCACCAAGCCGTCTAGGTGATGGCGATTACCAAGAGTAACAAGCACGAACTCTCACTTGACCACAACAAGCCTAATAAGAAGGGTGGATGCACGCTTGCTACTTTCCTTGCACTAATGAGGCCTTAATCTTGGATTTTCAAATCTCAATCACCACACTAGGCTCTCGCTCTCCTATGCACTCTCAAGGGTGTTTCTCAGCTGTTGAAATGGGCAAGAGTACTCCCTTGAATGAATAGAGGAAGTATTTATACCCCCTCATTCAAAACAAACCATTAGGAGGTGGCGTCAGCGATTCTGCGGGGTGATCGGATGCTCCGGTCAGTTATCCCCGCCATAGAGCCGTTAAGTTGTGACTAGACTCTGACCTGCGTCCAGTCAGCATTGATCGGACGCGCCCGGTCACGAAAACTGCTCTTTGGAACCTTACTGATGTTGACTGGACGCTGAAGCCCAGAGTCCGATCACTTCGCTGTTCAGCGTCCAGTCAGTAACCGGAACCAGACCAGCGTCCGGTCAGCACTGACCGGACGTATCCGATCAGGATTCTCCCTCTCTGGAACCTCTCTGGAGTTGACCGGATTCTAGCACCCAGCGTCCGGTCACTTTTCACTCAGCGTCCGATCGCAACCAGACGGCTCCAGTTGATCAAATGAACTGACCGAACTCTACTGCCAGCGTCCGGTCAACATTTGACCCTCCATTCACTTCCAACTCGAAATCATATATGAATGAAATTCGCTCCAATTGATCTTTGGGCTACTCCTGAGCTACCTAGTGCTAGATTTGACAAGTGTGCACCACACCTAACCCACTAGACTCACCTAGGTCAAGCTACTAGTCCATACCCTCCTTAATAGTACGGCCAAAAGAAAAATAAAGTCCTAAACTACTCTAAGTGTCTCTTCAACACCAAACGATACTTAGAACTAGTCAATCCTTAACCTTGTCGTCCATCCTTTAAAAACTAAAACGATTTCCATCGTAGGGGCATGACAACCATGATTGCTCAATCAATTGCCATTACCATGACCTAACTTAATTGCATCTACAAAACACACGTTAGTCATAGTAATCTCGTATTGTCATTAATCACCGAAACCCAACTAGAGGCCTAGATGCTTTCAGATTAAATAAACCATTTAGCCATTCACACAAAACGCCCATAATGTTAACATAGATAGATGTAGTGTAGCCCTCTGCATGATCTTTTTATTTTGATCTAATGTACCTTTACACAGGAATTCATATAGCTATTTTCTTCTAGATTCCTATGCTGAATTGTAAGTGAAAATTGCTCGAACTAATGTTTTGGTGCGCTGACCAGCAGCTAGTTATAATCGACGCGCGCGGCGACGGCGGCGCCCTCCCATTTAGCTCATCTCAGATTTTTAGCTCTAACTAAATACAATCAGGGCAACATACAGATGCACCATGCATGAAATTATTCGAAGGTCAAAGTTATTGCCGAACAGGTAAGCCAATGCCACATCTTTAATCAATTTTACTTACAACCCTTAGCTCAAAACAAAAAAAGGTCATCTATAACCCTTCTGCTGCTTTAGAAGCTCGCACCAGCTGCCGCTACATTTGTCCATTTGGTGATATGTTGCTGATCGATTTTTGTGCTTCCTCTAATATATGCTGGTTTGTTGCTGTTTTCCTCTATGTAGGATACCCTGCCTGTTGGTCGAGGAAAAAAAGATTCTATCAAGCATTGCCAATCCAAAGCACATATAATTTCTTCTACATGTTAAGCTATTCTATTTACTAAAATTTGTCCACATCAGTAAAAGCAATACATTCTTTTTAGATGAAACATGTCTAAGATAAATCTATAGGAAGTACTCTTTCAGTTATATTTCTCGTCCTGTTTTATTCTATTTTACCATCTATTGCTCTTGATCCTCATAGCAATATTAAGCAACTACCTCCCTCTATTTGCTGTTATTTTCTAATTCTAGTTCACAGATTGTACGTGACAAATATTTACAGATTGATAGTTTTAGACTACGTTCAATTTATATTATGTAGTACTCTAGATCAATGGGCATACACTAATGGGCATACACTAAAGTTTCCTGTCACTCTAACAGAGTATATGTCCCGCGCGCATTCCACTCGTAGTACTAGCTAGAAGGCCTGCGAGTAGGGATGAAAACGGATCGGATACGAACGGATATCACTCATATTATATTTATTTTCATATTTCTGTTCGGATTCGGATTCGGACACGGATAGCGTTCGGATACATATACGAATACGGATTGACTCGGTTACAGATACGAATAATGAGTATCGAATACGGTATGAATCGGATTCGGAGAAGGTCGGATACAAATATCTATTCGAATATTGAGTAAAAGCAGCATATATATATATATATATATATATATATATATATATATATATATATATATATATATATATCATACGTGCGCAAACCATTACACCACTCTATGAGTCCATAATCCATCTAGATTAAGCCGAAAGACTAAAGAGTAAAGCAACAAATAAGATAAAGATACTGATACATCATACATCAAACATCATACAAGCACCAATCTTCGCGGCATGAGTAGAAATAGCCAAGCTCATAGCTTCATGGGTCTCATGGAGTCATGGTCATGGATTCAAGATCTACAATCCTTATATAGGCCATTTTTTATTTGAGAAAGTTTGAACAAAATGTAGTTCAAATTTCACAAGTGTGTGACATAGTTTTAGAAAGTCTGTATGAGATTCAAGAATTTGTGACTAGTGTTTGATAAAACTTTCTCAAATGGGAAAATAAGCTATGTAACAATTGTAGATCTTGCTGAGATGATCAAACTTGGTATTCAGAGTTTTTTCATCTGAGGTCATTTAGTGTCTCATTTGAGTAAGTTTGACCAAGTCAAATTTGGTCAAATGAAAAAACAACACTTTGACTCTAGTATTATGAACTCTAAATGACTTCAAATTGAAAAATTTTGAATACCAAGTTTGTTCAACTCATCAAGATCTACAATTATTGTTTTGGTCAACTTTCCATTTGAGATAGTTTGGATGGTTCAAATTTGTGATTTTTAAATTTCGAAGCTTACAAACTAGTTTTCGGAACCCTAGATTGTCTTAAATTGAAAAGTTTTGAATACCAAGTTTGTTCAGCTCATCAAGATCTACAATCCTTATATAGGCTATTTTTCATTTGAGAAAGTTTGAACAAAATGTAGTTCAAATTTCATAAGTGTGTGACATAGTTTCAGAAAGTCTATATGAGATTCAAGAATTTGTGAATAGTGTTTGATAAAACTTTCTCAAATGGGAAAATAAGCTATGTAACAATTGTATATCTTGCTGAGATGATCAAACTTGGTATTCAGAGTTTTTTCATCTGAGGTCATTTAGTGTCTTATTTGAGCAAGTTTGACCAAGTCAAATTTGGTCAAATGAAAAAACAACACTTTGACTCTAGTATTATGAACTCTAAATGACTTCAAATTGAAAAGTTTTGAATACCAAATTTGTTCAACTCATCAAGATCTACAATTATTGTTTTGGTCAACTTTCCATTTGAGATAGTTTGAATGGTTCAAATTTGTGATTTTTAAATTTTGACGCCTATAAACTAGTTTTCCATTTGAGAAAGTTTGGACGGTTTAAATTTTGAAGCACTAAATGATTTCAAACGAAAAAGTTGTAAACAACAAAGTTTCATAACTTTTTGAGATCTACAATTTTTATTTTGATCATTTCTCCATCCAAGGTCGTTTGAATAATATCCGAATAATATCCGTTTTTAAATATCCGGATATATCCGATACTTATCCGGATTATCCGATATCCGCCGGATATCGATGATATTACATCCGTATTTGATATCCGCCTAAGATATCCGTTTTAGTATCCGTATCCGAAAAAAATTACGGATATCCAAGTAACTATTCAGATAAGTGTTCATATTTGTTCGGTCGAACGGACGGTCGAATAAATATCCGTACATCCGTACCTGCGAGCAAAGAATTGGCTGGCGACGTGTAGAGCGGCAATCGCTGACGGATACATGTACACTGCTACATTGCCTTAGAGATAAGATATTTCTCGCTCAAGCGCCGCAGAACAGTACTGCATCTCATCGCTGACATATATAGCGTGGTACACTAGCTTAGCTACACTCCAGAAATACCAACCGGTACACACACGTCCGACCTCGCTTCCGAGACTACTCCAACGAACCAGCCACACACGCTCTCCAATCAAATCCGTCGTCACCATGGAGACGAAGCGGGTGGCCATCGTCGGTGCCGGCGTGAGCGGCCTGGCGGCGTGCAAGCACCTCCTGGAGCGCGGCTGCCGCCCCGTCGTCTTCGAGGCCGACGACGGCGTCGTGGGCGGCGTGTGGGCGCGCGTGCCGGCCGACAGCACGGCGCTGCAGACGCCGCGGCCGATGTACCAGTACTCCGACTTCCCGTGGCCGGACGACGTCACCGAGGTGTTCCCGGGCCACCGCCAGGTCATGTCCTACCTGGACGCCTACGCGCGCCGCTTCGGCGTCATGGACTGCGTCCGCTTCGGCCGCCGCGTGCTCGGGATGGAGTACCACGGCGTCGCAGAGGACGACGTGGCCGCGTGGGAGGAGTGGAGCGGGAATGGGGAGGCGTTTGGGTCCGGCGGCGGCGCTGGCGAGTGGCGCCTCAAGGTGGCAGACGCCGAGGGGCGCGTTGAGGTAATAAGCATGCGTCATCATCATCATTTGGCTCAAAAAGCTGATTATAGACCTTTCCAAGGAGAAGATATATCCCTTGAAAAAATTTGTGTCCACACACATTCTAGGCCAAATATTCACGAGCCGCATCAGATCCAAGTCATAGCCACATCACATTTTCTGGAACCATGCATGTGCCCCGAGCCCCCAGCCCCCCACCAGTGGACAAATGGATTAAGATTATATGTAGGAGTATATATATTCTCTTTATAATCCCATATTCCCATGAGAGATATACACGGTGATGCACCACCAAGTTATTATCCTGAGTCGAGAACATTAGACGATTTGAGTACTGTATGTACTAGGTTGGTGAGTCGAGAACATTAGAAGATAAATTATTATCCTAATTTATAACACCGTACCGTATCTACTTCCAGTAAAGAACCATATAAAGAGGCAAATCTCTATAGCATGGGATGTATACTGAGCAACTAATGATTTGGTAAACTGATTATACATATACTACCTCCGTTATGAATTTTAAGACGTTTGGTTTTTTAGATATATTAATTTTACTATATATATATATATATATATATATAAATATATAGTAGAAAAACTATGTACATGGAGTATATATGAAACGGGGCACTGGAATATTGCAATCTACCGAAATCATGGATGTAGTTACACGCATGCACAAAAACGTTACAAGAAATTGTAGACGTGTTATCCATTAGTATAGTAGTAGGTTGAGATTTCAATTTTGGATGAACATGAAATACGTATGTTGCCATTGCTCGTAGTCATCCTTTGTCAAATCAAAGAAAAACAAAAGAGTTCTAGTGCCGACGCCTTTCCAACCGGAAATGACATGTGCAGTAGTCCAGAAATGCGGCAGGCATACATCTCGATGCACTGACGATAGAGGTTGGAAGCATTAACCGATCTAGATTCATACTGCCTTCGTCCCTTTATAAATCAATATTTAGAGTTGTTCTAAGTCAATTTTTATAGTTTGAACAAATTTTAAAAAAAACAACAACAATACTTATAGTATCAAATTAATATCATTAGATATAGTATGAAATATATTCTTCATAATTTATTTATTTGATGTCATAAATATTATTCTATTCTCTCCGTTTATGAATAGATAGATTTGTAGCCTAAGAATTTATCTACAAATAAATCAATTTTTAGAGGCTGAACGATCCACCAGCTCATTTATTTTTCTTGGAGTCTCTTCCCATTTATTCACTGCACCTCCTACCATCTCGCTCTTTTCCACCACCGCTGCCCTCAAATTCTCCAATGCAGTCTTGAGTTTTTGCAATTGGATGTGTGTAGTAAATATTATAATTAGCGTGTTACTGGAACAATCATCGATTAATGTACAACTACTCCAATTAATAAAGGACAGGATGGTCTTTTCTCTGTCATACTAACTTTTTTAAAAATTTGTTAGGAGTCTATCTATTCAGAGACAGAGGGAGTATTTGTCTATAAATTTAGTTAAATTTAAAATTTTGGACTTAAAACAACTCTCATAATTGATTTTTTAGAGATAGAGAGTATAAATACGGTAGTTTTTTTGAGATAAAGAGACCATCTAGCACAAACGGCCAAGGGTGGCGGCTTGCCTACCTAGTCCCTACACTACACCTATCAGTCCCTTTTCCTCACGTGTCTTGCTCCTAGACTTGATTGATACAGCTGTAGTGAAAGCTTGCCGCCTCTTCCAATGCACCAAGGATTGATTGATGATGAAGACACCAAATTGGACTCTAATAGGTCTATCTCGGTTGTCTCGACTTTCTTGATACTTTGATGTGGAACATTATATTTACAGAGATGTGTAAATAAATTGACACAAAAATTGACGAATCAGTGGCTGATTACCATATATATTTTACTTCTTTATCATGTTTATTTATCAAATGGAGGATTTCTTTAATTTGTTAATGGAGTCCTTTTGACCCAGGCTCATAAAAATAAATCATCATCCTTTGTGTTGTGAACCTTGCGGTTCACAGTACAAATATAGATGTTCACAAAAATACACGCACTCACCTCTATCTTTAAACGCACTCAGGCACTCTATCTCTATACTCGACCTGTAAGTATTAATAAAAAACTAGTTATATAAATCTTAAGATTGACAAAATCACTTAAGGTATTTCATCGTCAATGGATAAACCACCTATTCAATTTGTGTGCCCCACCTATGTTGACAGAAAAGGCCAAGAACTTTCTACTATAGTTAGATTTTTTTCCCAACTGAGTTGAGTCATCAGCTTCTTGTGAAAATGCAACATCTTCACAGGCCTATAAACAATTTCCAGCGGCAACTATGAAACAACAAAATAAAGTTCATGCTGGCAGAAACAAGAGCAGCACAGTTTTGTGAATAACATCGACTAACATCATTGATTTTTTTCGTTCTTAATATATTTTATAAGCAGAATGGTAGATATGACGGTAATAACAGTACAAGTAAATGCAATGGAGAGTGTTAGTGCAGAGTTACAACTAGAATCTTTTTAAATTGGGCTCAACGGAGACAATTCACGCTATGTTGTATAGTTTTTTTTCTCAAACTATGCAGGAGAGCTGTGTGTCATTTCATTAAGAGCCTGTTCGCTGGTTCGATAAGCCGCTTGTGCTGGTTTGTACGGCTGATTTGTTGTGAGAGAAAAACACTCTGAAACCAACAAGCGAACAGGCTGTAAGAAAGAAGTGAACAAATACAAAAGATTAGGGGAGACCCCCCAATCCTTGCACACCAACACACCCACCACAACAGAAAACAAAAATTGCCAACAAAAATCGTAGACTTGACCGGTAGCCATGGCGCCTAAGTGCCCAGCACAAGCGACCTAGTGAGGAGCTCCTGGAGCTTTGAGGCCCCAGCCATACACCACAAGGAGCTCTCATTCACCACTGTTTGGAGTAGTATCTGGATGCTTGGACGCACGTACTCCTTCAAACATGCAAGAGTTACTGTGCTTCCAAACCTCCCAGGCCACAATTATGATGACAGAGTTCAAACCTTTCCTTGTATCTTTTGGCACTGCCTGGATGGTGTTGCACCACCAGGCCGAGAAACTAGAGGCCCCAACCGTGGGCAAGTCAACGACCAGGTTCAACCGTGGGCTATGTTGTATACCCAGCAATTCGGACCTATCTCACCATAGGTAATTACTACATGAGTTATATAAGTAAAAACTGTAACAGAAGTTTATGTTCAATGAAAAAGATCATTACTACAATTCAGAATTTTTTTCTTCTGCTGCAGACACACAAGGCAGACTTTGTAATTCTCTGTATTGGGAGGTTCAGTGGTGTACCCAACACACCTGCATTCCCTCCTGGCAAAGGTCCAGAAGCATTTGATGGGCAGGTCATCCACTCCATGGACTACGCTAAGATGGGCACCAAGAAAACCGAGATGATCAAAGGCAAACGTGTGACTGTTGTTGGATACCTGAAATCAGCAATTGACATTGCTGCTGAATGCGCTGAAATAAATGGTACGAAAAGTGCTCCTCATTAATTCATTATACTTCGGTCAAGAAATCATAGATATTCGACCATGCATATTGAATCCTTTCGGACCTTTTTTATCCTATAAGAATGTCCAGCCTTTTTAGCTACTCCCTCTGTTCCAAATTATAAGTAGATACATGGAAAATTCTATGTACTAAAAAGGTCAAAGCGACTTATAATTTGGAATGGATGGAGTAGCTTTCAGCAATTGTCAATTGCATAAAACGGGATATTAATAGTTATGTTGTTGACAGTTCGTTTTCTGATTGGTAGGCACTGATCATCCATGTACAATGGTGGTCCGAACAAAGCATTGGATCATACCGGATTACTATGCTTGGGGAGTCCACATATCGCTGCTATACCTAAATCGCTTTGCAGAGCTACTGATTCACAAGCCGGGTGAAGGCTTTCTCCTTGGGCTCTTGGCCAACCTGCTGGCTCCATTGGTAACAATCCATTCTGTTATTCTTCGTAGAACTTACACATTTTGTGTTAAGAAGAGGATAGATTCATATATTCACATAGTAAGCATCACGTATTGATATGTTTTGCAGAGATGGCTATTTTCAAATTTTGCTGAGAGCTACTACTCCATCCCAATGAAGAAGTACGACATGGTGCCTGACCACAGCCTGTTTCAAGCACTAGCTACGTGTTTGGTTGCGATCGAACCAAAGGGATTTTATAAGAGGTTGGAAGAGGGCAGCATAGTTCTAAAGAAATCAAAGACGTTTACCTTTTGCAAGGAAGGTGTTGTTGTGGAAGGTGAAGAATTATCGCCGATAAAGAGCGATATAGTGATCTACGGAACCGGATTCAGAGGCGATCAGAAGATCAAGGATATGTTCACCTCAGAATATTTCCAGAGTATTGCAGTTGGATCAACATGCACAACTGTGCCTCTCTACAGGTAAGTTATGTGTACATAATTGCAACTATTATGGGCTTAATCGAATTCTCGATATCATTAACCACTTCATTGATGTGCACCCCATGCAATGCAATCCACAGGGAGTGCATACACCCTAAGATACCGCAGCTTGCGGTTCTCGGTTATTCAGAGAGCATTGCAAACCTGTACACCTCAGAGCTCAGAGCCAAGTGGCTGGCCCATTTCATGGACGGTGGCTTCAGGTTACCAAACGTTACTGCAATGCAGAAGGATATCCTTGAATGGGAGAAGTGCATGAAAAGATATGCTGGTAGGTACTTTCGCAGGTCCTGTATTGGACTCCTTCACATCTGGTACAATGATCAGCTGTGCCGGGATATGGGATGTGATCCAAGAAGAAAGAAGGGCTTTCTTGAGGAATTATTCGGAATCTATGGTCCTGGTGATTATGCTGATCTTCACCCCAAGAAAGACTAGACGTTTGGCGGCTTGATTTCCTGAGGCAGTCGTTATCCGAAGAACGTATTTTCTGATTTGTGTATTATACATGCTGAATAAAGTGGGTATTGACGTATTGTGTCTATATTATTATTAGATAATCGTACAACGTTTGTGAGCTCTCTCATTTTAGCTTTGGCTCGGTTTAATTTGCTTCTCGACCGAGAGTTTCTGCACAGTGTTTTTTTAGAGGATTCTGTACAGCAATTCTTGCTGCGTCCTTTGGAGCCGTCTTATGGGCCCTATTATTAAAGCCCAACGCCATACTAGAGTTTCCCGTTCTGGCTGGCCCATACAAACCTTTTGCTCTACCGTGTACTTCTTGTGTCACTATGAGAAAGTGAAATATCCTTGGTGTCTATTAATTTCATTGAAGCTTCTACTATAGCTGTGCTCACTGCAGCTACTTTTGTCTACAACTGTGGCTGCACACCACACAGTCAACAACCTTCTACTATAGCTAAAATAGGAAACAACCATAGCCCCAGCCTAAAAATGACAGCCGACCGGTATATCATTACCATTGGTGGTTGTAGGAACTAGAAAACCTCAAGGAAATGCATATTTCTTGAGTGCTATACCGTTATCCCAAATTGTCAAGGTAATTCTAAATTTTCTCAAATGTTATTCAAAACTGCTAAGATAATTCCATATTTCCTTTAGCGTTGTTACAAATCGCCAAGGTAATTCAACATGGTGTTATTCCACACCACCAAGGAAAATGCATGTTTCCTTGAGTGTAGTTGGAAATGCCAAGTAAGTGCTAGTTTTCTTGGTGCAAACCCTCAATTAATTGGCTAGACGACTCATTGCAGCTTTGTTAGTTAAACATTGCATTTTATAGACACAAATGGTCTCTTGACATGTTTGTGGAATGGAATATGATGTTTCCTTGGTACATTAATCCAACAAAAGGCACATGTTATCTATTAGATGCGTATTGTCATTTAGCTTGAGATGTCTAGTTAGTTTTAATGTTAGCAAGCAACATACTAGTATAGTCTCTTGGCTATGCTCACATGAGCGTACTTACTCTACTTTATATTGTGCATATAAATAGACATAATCACTAGTAAATATTCATGCAGACATCTTAGTTTCTAAGGTAGAAATATGTATATATTTTACATATCAAGTCAGATGAAGACAAACTTTATATCAATGTTGCAGTGCTCAAAAGATTTAGAAATCTTTAGTTGATGGCTTTTTGATTTGAAATGATTTAGCATCAAAATTATGTTTTAAGTTCTCGGATTTTTTAAATTCAAATTTTTTAAGTTTTCAAAATGACCTCAGATCGAGATATGACTGAAACCAAAGTTATAGTACAAGACAAGATTTTAGAATTTTTAGTTCAAACATTTTTCGTTTAAAATCGTTTAGGATATCAAATATTCACTGTAAGATTCACCAAAGTGAATACAAATCGAAAGTATTATTAACTTAGTCACAAAGCGACTTTGGTGTGGAGTGGTAGGGGAGGCTTGCGCGAGGCCTTAAGTCATGAGTTTGATTCCCAGCTACCGCACGCACGCGTATATTGTGTGACTTGGTACAATTACCTTGACGGTCATAAGCACTCAAGAAATATATATCCTTGGGCTGGTACAAATACCTTGAGGTCGCTCAAAATATATATATCCTTCACGTTATTAGCTCTGAAAAAATTTATATCTTTGGCGGTTGTCATATTTCCTTGACCTTGTGAAAAGTTTGACCTCATTTTTTTCTTTTGTGGCCAAACCAAGGAAATTATTTAAGGCAACCAACTTTCAAGATAATTGTATTTCTCTTACTCTCTACTCTTAGCGGTCCTTCCTTTGGAGTTCACTTTTAGACTAGTTTTCTTAGCAGTTTTTATGGTTTTCTTGAGAGTTTTTTACTATTATGATTTGTGGTAGACTGGTAGTGTATTATCAAGATACATCACACAGTTGCACTTCAAGCCCATGCAGAGGCGGATCCAGCAATGGGTCGGGTTAGGCTCGAGCCCCCTTACCGCCTCCCACACAATGGAGCCCTCCTTGAGCCCCTCCTCTATTTTTTGGAAGAAGGAAGAAGAAGAGGGGTGAGGAAGAAAGGAAGGAGGAAGAAGGGAGAAGAAAAAGGAGGAAGAAGCAAGCCCCTCCTTGTATTCTATGCTACATCCATCGTTGCCCACACAAAAGATCCTATGGTTCTTTACATGATTGCATGAAAAGTGTACATCTATCCCTATTTGTTGATAAATTTGTCTTTTCCTCGGACTATTCTAAGGAGTATATTCAATTAATTAATGAAACAAGCAGATTCTAATTACACGATTGTTGACGGCCACTAACACCCGTTTTGGCCATCAACATTTCACCCAAAAGCATGATAAAAGTCATCACATGTGTAGGATTTTATTTATAATTCATCTAGTTCCACTTATGCTTGTAGAATTATTTGTATGCAGAAAATATGGCAAAAATATGCCAAAATGATGACAAACATGGAGCATAGGAGCAAGTGGACGTGGTAGGGCCACTTCAGGCGCCGCTCGGCCCCCACCTGTGCCACCTTGGCACTTTGTATAGCAGAACCATCCAATTTATAAGAGCACAAGTACAATGGCACCCCACAAGAGGTCACACTATCGTACTTGAGCCCATATAAACCCGGTAGTCCATCAAGTACCACGAAGGGTCTTGATTAACCGTCAACATACAACCAAGATCGTACATGATTCAACAGACATGTCACATGTTACATCAGTTCACAAATACAACATCATACATCATAGTATGTTATTACAAACCATGTTCAAATTTAGTCGTGGAAGCAATTAAGTTTGAAAACCAACACCTCACATCATTGTTCCAATACAGTGCCAGTCCATGATCACAACCACAAAAGCATGATAGAGAGAATTAACGAGAGACGCCTTGCCCAGGACTTACCCGTCATAAATCTAAAAAGAAAGTGACTCCAAGGATCATGCAAGGCTTTATAAGTGGAGCTAGCTTGACAACATTTTGCATGAAAAACTACTAATTCAGTTATACATTTATAATTCGGTCATCAAGTTAATTATAGTTATTCATCTCTAGATTAGCAACTAACCTATGCCAAACATGTGGTATAACATTTAGTAGCATACAGTAGTAACCATAGCCGGTGTAAAAGTTCCAAGTTCACCATAACCATCATTCCATAATCTAGTTACTACGATGTTGGAGCTAGCCAAGTTTCTCACTGTCCGGGAGAGACGGCGATTCGAATCGATTTCAACTAGCTGAGAATTTATTCCTAACACAAACCCAAGCAGACCAGATCAACAGTCACCTTAGGTCACCTTTGGTACAACTCAGGTACACATTTCGCGGGTTCGATCAGCGCCGCACAACCAGGGACAACCAGCTGTCAAGACGGTTAGGACTACCCTGCCCTTGGGCTCACATCTGGCTCCCCGCACATCCTTACTATCATCCAGAGTGCGCACTCTAACAGAACAGGGCCTGGCCTGAGTTGAGCTACTCGACTTCGCGGTCAGAACGAGTTATCTAGCCAGCTAAGTGAGAGGCATGCGTTTAATCTCAATAGAAGTTCCAACAACGGTACGGTCCTTAATCGGCACAGACATAATCATATGAGCCAACCTACGCATAGACTTTGTCCGACCTCCAGTTACATTACCCCATGGTTCTTTTCCACGATAGCAAATATAGCCAACCGTGCTCCGGTATCCACCTGTATCTCGCAGGTGACAGGAAATCACCCGACTTCTACTGGTCTAAGCATGGCTAAGCATATATTTGATCCTGGACCTACACAGGGTTAAAGGTATATGTATCTAGACAAGGTAGTTCTATGCATCAAGTGTTTCCAATTCTACTCTTATAACCTAATGCATCAAACATAAAGGACTCAAGTGATATTTTGTAAAACATGAGAGGCTTAAAATGCTCTAGGCTTGCCTTTGAGAAAAGAAGTTAGCCGATGATCCAAGCACTCGGGTTGGTCCTCAAGAGCTTGCTCCTCGCCTTTTAGAGCTACGGGCTGAGGTGCCTCCTTATGTTCCTCTTCTTCTTCGTTGAATTCCAATAGAGTGATCTCCTCGGACGATCCTATATGCATGAGCATGAAATTAAATATCATGAATGCATATATACTGACATGCATGATATGATATGGTGTGATGAAATGCATCCTCATAAGCGTTCTCAATAGCATTGCATTATGGTGATAACAAGATAAATTTTCTTTTTTTTAGTAGGTGTATATCTCTTCTCTAGTAATTAAACAAATTCTCATCTAATCAATTTTTGGACTACAAAATAGTAGCCACTTGTTTTGATCATACCTGGAGTTAGACACATCTAAATAATATGGTTGTGCACTTTCTGGAAAGCTTATGAAATTACCTACAACTTTATTTCAATCATATTAAGGTGATTCAGTAGTTATCTAGGCAAAACAATTCCATCTTTCAGATCTGTCTAGGGAACAAGTATTTCTGACAGCAGACTTCTAACAGCTAAAATTCTCAAACCATAGAGCCTATGACTATGAAAATTTAACATAAGGTAGATAAATAAGTTATATATAACTTTGTTATTAACAAATTTCACAGAAAAGATCATTATCATCATAAATTTACCACCACAACAGAAACTATATATGCAGCCATCTAGTTAAATTATAAAGCAATAATTAACTAGCTGCCTATAACCAATTACTTCTAAGCCTAACTAGTAGCACCAATAGATCATATGCATCATAAGCATCATAGAAAACATCAAGGTTATGCCGAACTAATTTATTTATATTCATTTATCAATTTCCTTATATAATAAGGTGATTTAAAGGATAAATATTTATAATGCTCAATAAATTCTTAAAAAATTACAGTAGCCTACAAATGGCCCTAATAGTCTATTGTATAATTTTCGTGTCATTTGGATAAGTATATCCACCTCTACAAAAATGACAAGCTACATATGCTTAACTTAGCATAG